AATGAGCGAGTTTTGCTCCAAAATATAAAAATTCCAAAACTTGAGGTACGTCAGTGCGAGACGGGAGAAAGTGGACAAGGCAATGGGAACTTTTGAGAACTCCTAGCAAGCTCCTACTCAAGCGCTGGCATACGCATTACCTCAAGAAGCTGGTCGCCTACACTTCGTATAAAGACATTTGGATTCTCTTGTGTCTCAAGCATATATTGTCATGTATCATGCCACGTATGTGTATATATACAGAGTGTCCTAAAAGTATGTATCCACTGTTTAATCGTTAATATTTCTTTTCCCAAGAATTCTTTTGCCCACCTTCAGGTATCATTTTGTAGAGCTGGCTTTAACGTAGATTTACAGTATGAAGGGAATCATCGATCGATCTTCACTACTGTAAGATTACGGTAGGAACTATCAGCTTACAGTGTCATTGCGAATGAATTGTGTTTCAAAATTTCCAAAAAAACCTAAAAAGTGGTGTACCAGGGTTTCCACGTCCGATTTTTTTCCGTCCGTCCGTCTGATTTTGTTATTCAACTTTTTACGAGTTTGCAAAGCTTTTCAAATGATGTAATCACGATTTCATGGACTAATGTAAAATTAGCTAGTGCGGTTCAAATGGCATAACTTATGACGAAATTTAGTTTTAGCGGCTTGAGCTGACCTAGTATAAAAGTTTTCTGGTTGTTCGGTTTGCTTTCTTAGGCGGAACAGGGCCTCTAATGGCTCACAATCCTTTTTGAAGTTTCTACTGTAATCCTACAGTAATGAAGAGTCGGTGACTCGCTCCACGCTCTAAATCTAAGTTGAAGCCAGATAAAAAAATGGTGTTTGGAGGTGGGCAAAAGACTCCTTGGTAAAAACGATTCAACGATCAAACAGTGTATACATACTTTTGGGACACCCTGTCAGTATATGCATCAAATCAACACTAAATAAAATATTCATTTACAAAAAAAAATTGAGTTAACAAATTCGTCTTTTTCTTTCTTCATTTCCCTTCGTCGAGCATGTGTCAGGAAACATCATGAGGGGAGACGAACGTCCACGCCTGCAAACGTCAGCAGCCATCCTATCGATTGAACAAAAACAAAACACTAGCGAATAAAAAAGTTCGTGACAACCATCATAAGTAATGCAGTTGTAAGAGCGTGAACAAAATCGTAGTAATCAAGCAAAACAAGAGCAGCTTCAAATGCACTAACAAAGGAAAGATACTAACTTGATTCGCCTTTTGAGATGAGATACATATATTTAGAATCAGCTTGGAACGCTGATTTCAAACATGCTGTTTCTAGCTGCTTAGCACTATTCTGAAACGAGTTATGGTCTCTTTTCTAAGCAAAGTTTGCGACCTACTTATGCTACGGTGTCGACGTCTAGGTGGTTTTGCAATTGTATAATGCTTTCTTTCAAGACCAAAAGAATTGATCTGATGCTAGTTCAACATCCTAGCATTTTTTCGAGCACATTCTTATCTACGCGTCATTTAACGGCATTCAGAAGTTTGTTAGTTACTCACAGCAGCAAGCCCATAACGCGCTTCGGAATAATGCTAAGCAGCTAGGAACAGCATATTTGGAATGAGCGTTCAAAGCTGATTCCAAATATATGTGTCCCATTTCAGAAGGCGAACCTAAGTTAGTATCCTTCCCTTGTAAGAAGCAAAAATTTTTCTCGAAAACATTGACGGGGAGATCGCAACGGAAGAAAAAGAGAAATGAGGTGAAAACAACGGCATACTAATGAAGTGTAAAAACACACCGGAGAAAAACAAAAACATCTGAGTTTAAATGTACAAGGTAGGATTAGCAATTTGTGAAGGAAATCTTATTTCACTGAGAAGATAACAGATTTGGATAATAAAGTCAAAGAAGGAGCAGAAAAACTTCTATGGGAGCAAACATCCAAAATCAAAATAGTGTGTGAAAGAACAAAACAAACCACTGAAAATTTATGTGCTAAAAACATCCATTGTCCGAAACAAAAGCAAAAGATCGCCTCGTTGTGTTGCAGTTGCGACTTTTATAATGCTTATTAAGGGTGCACGTCTTTTTTTGCTCTTGACTCAATGTCGTTTCTACCATCTGCTTGCCCTTTCACCGCTCCTCATACTCAAATCAAACGCGACATCGCATCGCGCATTTGCAAGTCCAAATGCAGCGGATTTTGGGCGGAGCCAAGAGGCGTGGCTTGATTCGCTAGCAATAACAGCACTAGTTCTCCTGCGGTTGCAATTGAGAGCGACGCAACGAAATTGAGCCTCAGAATATACCGCAGGAGAAGGCGGCGTACCTTTGCTCCATAACGCCTGCCCCCTAGAGAAAGGCAAATAATTTTTAAACACTCAAGAAAACATGCAGTCCTAAAGTCTGTGTTCATAATTCGAAGTTCCGGCATAATTCCAGCACAGCGCTCGTAGTGTGGCGGAACTATGCTACTGGAGATGCAGCGCCTCGCGGTTATTGGAGACGGGAAATAAAAGCTTATAACCGTTTTCAATGGACTTCATTGTAGATTTTGTCTTGTACGACGCTTCCTCCTGCGATGAGAAAACCATATATGGAACGGGGTTGAAAAATAAGCGCCGTTTCGTTTTTTATCGTACGTGAAATTATCTCAAACCGAAACCGCTTTCATTCTTACACATTGTTCTAAATTTGGTGTTTCCTGCCAAGAGCAGACATAATGACTAGGAACGATGAGCATACGCAGTACTATAAGTGAAAAAAATGAGACGAAGACGCACGGAAACCATTATCAAAGCACAAAAATTGGCAATTTTCCTAGAAATTGTTGTAGTCCTTCTCAAGAATGGCTTTGTCAACGCAGTGATTTTCTAAATAACAAAAATATTTCTGACAAATTATGTAGAACGGAGCAGGAGGAGTACGGAGACGAAAAGGACAATACAGCATTTAACACCGCAGTTAATACCGACGCAAAAAAACAGTCATTCTCAAACCTTGCTCCAAGTTTGTAATTTTCTTTCATTACAAGAAGAGGAGAGATACAGAATGAAGTGACTAGAAAGCAAATACAATGAGAACTGTCAAAACAGTCAAAAACCATGCGGGTGGGTGCAGCGCATGCAGCACAGTACCGCTCAAACAATCGTACCGGCCGGCGAGCGGGCGAGAAGGCGCCCGGAGGCCCTTCCATTGTGCAAAGACACGAGAAGCGGTGGAAGAAAAAAACGATAACTACAACGCAAGGGATTGCGCATCAATAAGAAAATAATTACACATTGCGTGAATGAGCCTGCTAAGCACCGGGTTCGTCTTTACTTATTCTTTTTCAATCTTGTTATTGTTGATTTCTTTATTACTGTTGCGAATTTCCACTACGGTTGCGTCACTCGTCGTTTATAAGTCTGGCTGTGAAGATAAATATTACCCTAATTTCACGCGTACAAGGCGCGGCGTGGTCCTAGCTTTCATCGACCAGCCCGAACACGGCAAAGGACTTCGCAACCAAAGGAACCCCATACCGTGCTGCGTTTTGCCTGACGAATCGTGCGGCATAAGGATCTCTTCTTAGAACACGTTGGGGCGGCTGAGCAGCTCGATGAAAGCTAGGACCACCCCGCCCTTGTACGCGTGAAATTAGGGTAGTAGGTTGGGGTTATTTTTCATTACACTTCTTTGTAAAATTCTGAAAAATTCCGGAAGCACTCCAGAATCACGAAACTTGCTTCATATGTAGGACAGACAGCCGTTCCCATCATTATGACTGAAGGCGCAAATGCACCAACAGCAAGCAGGTTTACGACAGCTCTGTAAGCACATTCAAAATTGTCATTTTTTTCGATTTTTTCTCTGATGATTTTTGTAAATTTTTCAAAACAGATGTGTTAAATTGCGAATGTGCTGACATGCCTCACCACCTAGCTCTTTTGAACATGTGCGGACATGATATTACCATCCTCCTACGTTCAAAATATAGGCCATACAGTGCCTGATTACCCCATCGCTCGGTCTTTTCTTACTCATCTGGAAGAATGCGTTGACAAAAATCCACAAAACGTACTCTCACCGATAAAGTGGATATTGGGCAATAAATTTGACAGTACTGGTGGTAGTACTTTGCACTCCGTCAACACTACTTGAATATAAGAAATTTCGAAAGTACTTTAGATTTTGAGAAATAAAAATAAAAGTGTAACAGAAATTATCCGCTAACCTAATAGTTATGCTTTGGTGTCACGTAGAAGTTTGGGGTAAAAGTATGTATAATAATTTGTAGCCCACTGGAATTTCTACGAAAGCAAATGTTCAAATGTACAAATACTTCTTGCAACACCTTCCTCAACTCAATGGCGGAAGTGAACATACTTGAGACACTCAAAGCTCACCATAGTTCCGTTTCAACAAAACGAATTCAAGCTCAAAAAAAGCTTTTCTTTCCAAATTTAAACTCGTATGTTGCTGACCACTTGAGTCATCAAAAACACTTGCATGTGTTCTTCTCTACAAATTTTCGGATTATAAAACAGATGTTGATATATAAGCAAGTGCACTTGTCAAGGTGCATGCATCGTTTCAAACGTTCACTACTCATCTGCTGTGACCTCCTTCATCAGCTACGTACTTGTTTACATCGAATAAAATAAATAGTCTTTCCTTTCGAACCATAAAAAAAACTGCCGAATCATAAACAGAAAATAGCACCAACATTTTTTGCGTCAAGCCTATTCAGCTTCTTTTTCTTGGGTACTGGAAAATATGTTGCTCACATTAGAATGGGATGATGAAACTTCCAAACTGAAAATAGCCCTAGCTCAAGGGTCTTTTCAGCGCAACAATCAGCGTCATCGATTACGGTACAAAGTACGGTCTGGGTTAGATTCAGAGTTGTATTGCTGGTCCATGAACAAATGATATGAACTCTCGTTTGAACAATACGTTCACTATAAGTTCTCAATTAGTTTACGCATAAGAAAGACAAGTGCAGGTTCGTCTTCGCACTGCTTCTACACTTCTACTTTGTGGCCATAAGCAATAATGCGTGCTTGGATGCTTTCTTTCTTCGTAGTGATGCTCACGGCCATGTGCTTCATCATGGCGGAGCCTGTGCCAGTGGATGCGACAGTAGCGGAGTCGGACGTCAGGTAACAAATCTTTTTATCGGGATTCCTTTCAAAAACAGCAAAACGCATACATTGAAAAGGTTTATAAAGATTCAATGTGTCCAATTCAGCAACTCTACTGAAACAATTTATATTTCAGCAGCAATGTCCGCCAAAAGAGACAATATTTGTGTGGATACCGCAGCTACAGAACTATTCATATTACCCCAGCTATGACCTTCTCTATCATCCCTCCTTGTCTATATGATTTAACTGAGTATAACGCACAATGACACATTCATCCTATATCTTATTCAGTTTTATGCGTATTTGCTTGTAGTATGATGTAGTTGACGCTTGTAGCTGTAGATTCATGCTACTGTGCAGTGAAATAATTAAATGAAAGTGAAAAAATTGGTGGAACAAGACAGCTATATAACGCAGAATTTTGTCGTACTCCAGAAAACTGATTCTTGCGGGGATTTGTTGAAAAAACAGAAAATTTTTACAAGTTTTGCAACTTTTCTCATGCTGTCATCCACTCCAAGACAAGTGGAAGCGGTAGTAGTTGGTAGAGCTTCCAGTAAAGTTAGAAATGAGCCTTCAAGATAAATAAAATTCTAAAAGAAATTATAGGATTATTTTACCAAATAATCCATAATTCACTACTCATGTAGACCAGATTCTCGACTACCTCTCTATTGATTGCATGCCCACTGGTTTTCCATCAAAAACACCACGATGTTTCTTGCGTAATGTGGAAGATTTTCGTCTTTTAGTAGCTCTTGCGCGGCTTGTGGAGGTGTGGCGTCGAACTGTATCCTGTGCTTCTTTTGTCGTTCGATGGGATTGAGGGGATAAATGGGGGTCTCCGTCGCCATCGTGCGGAGGTAGAAGGGCTTGAATACAGGATTAACAGAAGAATTTAGTCAGAGTCGTAAAGATCGATGCGGGGCACGGCAGAGGGATCACAAATTGACTGCTCGCAGGCAGGCCAGGGTGCCTAATCATCAAAAGTTTGTCGGCGCGAAGTGAAAACCTGTTCAGAAATAAACAAAAGCCTTGTTTACAGCGAAGAGAAAATGAAATGACACCAATATTGGTTCATAGATGGGCAATAGGGAGCTAGGACTACGTACGAAAAATTTTGAAAAAATTATGTGAACTTGAGGTGTGGCAAATTTGTGGCAAACTTTTGTCGGAGTAAGGAGGCTTTTCAGCCACCTGGACAGCCACCTGAGGTAGTTATGAAACGAAAAAGTCATCTACATAAAGCTGAATGTCTGCTTGTCTGTATGTCTGTCTGTATGTCTGCACATATGTCCCGAATAGAAAATACCATTTCTGAACCGATCCGGACCAATCTTGGCAAACATAGACTTCGGGCTGGGCGGGTATCATAGGCCACTTTTTATCATCGATCGATATCGACTGTATCGATTATTTGCGAAGTTGGCTGCAGGGCTGGGAGTTGGCACAGGGGGGGGGGGTAATCGAGCATGCTGATTACGAGTACGATATTAGTTTGGCGTATTTGCTTTTATGCGTATATGCTTGTAGTATGATGTAGTCGACGCTTGTAGCTGTAGATTCATGCTACTGTGCAGTGAAATAATTAATTGAAAGTAAAAAAATTGGTGGAACAAGACAACTATATAACACAGAATTCTGTCGTACTCCAGAAAACTTATTCTTGCGGAGATTTGTTTAGAAAACAGAAAATTTTTACAAGTTTTGCAAACTTTTCTCATGCTATCATCCATTCCAAGACAAGTGGAAGCGGTGTTAGTTGGTAGAGATTCAAGTGAAGTCAGAAATGAAAAAGCCTTCAAGATATGGAATTCTAAAAGAAGTTGTAGGATTATTTTACCACTCAATCCATAATTCACTAACTCATGTACACCACCTCCAAAATCTGCGAGCTTAATTACGGTACTCAAAGTTCTTTGTTCCCAGGTATAAATGGCTTTGAAACTGAAAATCAACGTTCTTCCACTCATCTGCCTCCCTCCCCCGCACTTCCCCCGTCTCCCCTTCCCCAGTCGGTTCGCCCATAATCACTAATTTATAGAAACACACAGCCAATCATTAAGAGGATTCTCACTCGAAGCAGACTATAAAAACGAGCAAACATCAAGTAAACTTTACCTTTGCTTAGTTTATAATGAGGTCAAAGTGTGTTTTTGCACTCATCCGAACAACTCATAAGTTCTTCCTTGTAAAAGAAAGTGAGAAAGCTCGGAAAAAGGTGTCAGCGAAGCTCTTGTTCTTGATACAAGTTTTTGGCGCTCCACAGCGCCGTAAGTCCACAATATCTAAAAATGAAGCACCTTGCAAAAAGAAATGTGGCTACTTCCCAACTTATTAGTCTTTTCACAAAAATAGCGCACAGAGACAACTACATACGTTCTCTCTAGATTTCATGCTGTGATTAGCTAGCTTATTATAATTAGCTTTAATCAAAAATTTTCTAGACAAGTACAATTATGTGATTCTAATCAAGTCTATAAACATGTTTACGTACCAACCTCCAAAATCATTGTTTCCGAAATTGCACATAGCCAAATCTGGGAGAGGAAAAGTTAATTATGAGAAGCTACTCCTATGAAAGTCCGATAAAAAAAGCAAGAGCAAAGATCTTTTGAAGGTTTCTATGCTTCCTCCTTATTTTTGCACGGACTAATTTTTCTTCTGCGCTTACATTGCCGTGATCTCTTTGTGATAATCAGCTCAGGCATGTTTGCAAGAAATTTTCGGGATTAAGGTTGTTTGGATAATCTCATACCAGAGAGTCTGAAAAAGGGGAGTGCTTTGCGGTGCTTCTCTTTAATAACAATTGAGCGTGGATACTGCAGTTGCCTAGCGAGTCTTGCACGATCTTCTTTCACAAATTCGTAGATTCGCCAGATTCAATAACAAGATATTTTTCTAGCTGTGTTGGATGCGAAAACAATCATTAGCAAGAAGGAAAGCTCAAATAATATATTCGTTCATGATAGTTGAAATACTACACAATTTGATGAAGCCTAAGAATTCCGGCATTGTGTTGTTGTCATTCACCCTTTCGGTGAAACCAGGTAAAAGAATAGTTACGATTTTCAAGCGGACCAACTTTTTTAGAATTTGATTTTTTATGATTAACAAGATGCACCATTTTTTGCATAATATTGGGGGTGTCTCATAATTTTTTTACCGTTTATACCCTAGACATCAGCATTTCTCGAGAAGTGGGGCACCTACAAAGGATCAAATAATTGATGGTATTTTTCTAGGTTTGCGCTATAGATCACGTATCTGGTAGGAGGTCAGGACTTTTTCTTTTTTTATTTCTAGCCGTGGAATACGAAAAGTGTACAATCAAATGTTCGATGTGTCAAGCATTTGCTAGGATAAACGGGAAATTTTGAAGATTTTTTGGCCCGAGATATGATTTCTACGGTAAAGTTTGTTTTTAACTGTTTCTGTTTTTAACAGAATGGTGTCAGCATTCCAAAAATATAGCCAAAATCTAAAATTTGTGTCTCGCACTAATTGTAAGTTCGCGAATTGCGTCGCGATGGTGTTAGAACCATTTTGAAAACGCTTTCAATATTTTTTGTGTGATTATTATTAATATTTACTAGCTGGCTTACCCTGCTCCGCCCGCCTTTGTCAAAAACGATAAAGGTTCCATTCTTATCCCCATACAACCGCACACTTCTACATGCAATTCCCTATTCCCGTCCTGTTGGTAATTAGTATGCTCACCTATCTTCCTCACCAACCCTCAGCCCCGTAGCTCAAACTTTGCAAAAATCAATAAAATCGATAAAAGGGTAATTCTAAAAACTGATGGTGCTATTTGGCTATCCGGGTCCTAGAACGTTTTTGTGACGGATCTTGCTCAAACTCCGTATATGAGGGTTATTTAAGAAGCTGATAACAAATATCACAGTCAATTCTCGCGATAGCGCCATTTTCTGGGTTTACGGTAGGTACACGTAAAAAGCTGAAATCATGGATTTCGCTGAAACTTTGCTTAGGGAGGCTAAGTGACATGCTTATTACGAATATCATCCCCTTCGGCATTTTGGGGCGTTACTGAGTTATGGTAGATATACAGCAGAGGGGCAAAATCCCAGTTTTGGCTGAAACTTGTCTATAGAGACCTTCTGACAACGATCAAAACGCTCTCCTTGCGTTTTGAAAACTTAGTGCAGAGTTGCGGTAGGTACCTGGCAGCGAGTAAAAATCATGGACCTGCCTGAAACCTTGGCAGGTGGTCACCTAAGTGCTGTTTTAAGAATATCGTCTCAATCCTCACTATGAGGGCGATTCGTATGGTATAGAAGGTTTCCCACGACCGCAATTCTTTCCTTATAGGACCACTGCCGCGCGATACAACCTTCGGCGGCTTTTGCCCAAGCAAAGAACAGGTACAGTCGGTTTCATCCCGGATTAGGCGAGACATTCTACGTGGAGCAGCGCATGCGCATCGCTGGAGGCTTCGCGGGCGCATAGCGCTAGCATTTTGCCAAGTAAAGACTAGGAGGATTGAAGAGACGCAGACATGGGTTCTCAGCACGATAGGATATACTGTAGCTGCGAAACGGCGCGAGCTGTTGCGAGGCGGACTCGCGCCAGTCCAATTTCCGCCTAAAGCGGGTCGGAACTTACTGTAAGGGGGAGATTTGCCGCGTGCGTTATGCGTTGCGGCATGTCATCAGGATGGCGCTGGAGACCGCCTGCAAAACGACCGTTTCTCCATTCCGTGAATATCTGGGATCTAAATTGGCCCGAATGCGAAAAAATCTATTCAGACCTTGCAATTCACTGTAACTTCACTATTGCGTTATGACAGTGAGCAAGCATCTTAGTCATAAGCAGCATGCTTGTAAACAGTTCCAGGTAAGGTTTTGAGCAAATCTGGAACTCCGACCCATCTACTGTACACCCACCGTAACCCAAGAAAATGGCGCTATACTGCGAAATCAGCATGATATTCTCAGCGCACCAAATGACCATCCTAGACGAAGTTTAGAACAAATTTATGCTTTCGATCCCATACCGTATAATCACCATAACTCTATGAAAAGATCCCAATATGCAGAGAGAGAGAGTTTGCTATTCGTAATCAGCATGTCGATTAAGCCTTTTGGACCGAATTCCAGCCAAAGTCATGATTTTGACTTCCTACCGTACACGTATTGTAACCACACGGGAGACGTTCTGCGGAGAAAGTGTGATACCTGTAATGTAAGATAACCCGTATAGACGAAGTTTGAGCAAGTTCTACGACAAAAAAATTTTGAGG